CAGCACTCCATGACAAATCTTAAATTTGTTAAAATTCAGCAGTTTTTTGGTTGACTTAACACTTTAAGTTAGAATCAGAGTTACAGCTTCCAGACAACATCAATTTATGTGTCTTTAATTTGGATATCCAGTCTGGGTCCACATCTAGATATAAATAAAGGTAAAATAAAATGYAGTGGAGACTGAAAGAACAACAATATTTTTGTTCTTGTTTTACGATAATGTGGCAGAAAATAGGAATGGAATTAGCACTGTTAGAAGCTATCCAAAACAAACACAATTTAGGGAGAAGAACAAGAGCTTTGGCTGTATCTCATTGCAGGAAGGAGTCAGGCGTGCGATGGAAGGAACCCATGTTGCCTCCCCCATGGAGCCAGTGTGAGGATGTTGTTTCTTGTGCCCCTTCTAGTGCATTTGCTTCTGAAGTGGTCTGATTCTCAGATGGAAAACAAGGATTAAGTGAAAAAAAAAACCCTTCTCCTTTGTCCAAGCACAATTTAGCTCACTGCATTTTGCTTMATCGGCTGCAGCACTGGAGAGAGGGAAATTTCTTTTGTAGGTGCTGGTTAGGGACTTGCTCCCTCTCTTCCTCCTCCTCCTGWTCATCTCAATGACCGGGAATTGGTTGGCAACCCAATTAAATGCGTACAAATACCGCTACTCTGCTTTGCAGTCATAAAGACAGTGCTACAGAAGTTACCTGATATATTCAACTTAAAAAGAACCTATCTGCTAAGAAGCTTATATCAAAAAGAAGTGGTAAAGAATAGCAAATAAAATTGACAGTCTGGATAGGTCTTTTTTATGTTAGACTATCAGGGACACYTGACAGTTATAGGTTTTTTCTTTTTCTTCTTTTCTCTGCTCTGCTCTGCTTTGCTTTGCTTTTCTTCTTTCCAGCAATCTTAGCCACAAGCTGTAACAGGAGGGCACCAAATTAGCTTTTTTGAAGCATTCTAGAGGCTTCCCATCAGAACCGTGTTTGTCCAGCTCCAAGTTCAGAAAGACAGCAGAGTATTGGATCACTTTCAGGTTTTGTTAACAGCATAGTAGGCTTGGCATATAATTGAAAGGAAAAACAAAATGATGTACAAATTCTGTGGAAAGTAGTGCGTGAGTCAGTAGCCATGCTTTCTGGGAAATCTTTGGTAAAAGAAAAAGGGAGGAATTAGCCAGCTAGCTGAAGGTAGTTATCTTGCATTGTAGAAAAGACGAAATTTCACTAAATAAGTGAAGCTTTGTGGTGTTGATTTCACGATCGCATTGAAAAGTCTGAATGCACTGCAGCAGCCAGCATCTGCTCCCAGTGCTGAACGTGCCAGTGCCCTGCAGTGTCTGTGCTGCTGTTTTACTGAGCTATGTACAGAGCTAAACCCCTTCAGTAGGACTTGATTTCTCAGCATTAACTCCAGATTTGTATAACCCTCTCAGGCTGTAGGATATGAGATCCAGAGACAAAATCATCTGTTTTACACCTTTCTTTTGCAATACGTGAGTTATAAAGTGGTGCTGCAGCAACAGTGTTAGAGGCTCAGGGAAGGGAAACTGCAACTTCTTTTTCTCTCCTGAAGCTGCCTGCAAACTAATCCCCACTCAAGCTCCATGCTGCAGGTTATTTATTGCAGAGGAAAGGTTATTAGCAGCTTTAGTGAAAGTCTTTTCTCTCTTTTCCAAGTTTTCTCTTTTAATCTCTTGTGTGAAAATGCTTTGGTAAAGAAAACAAAGGGTCACCCACCAAATGTCACATCTCTCTACAGAAGTCTGGAGCTGRTGGAGGTTTTGCATGTACCGTACAGGTACTTCTGTAGTTCTTGGTAGAAGAGAGCTCAATATTTAAGGAGATTGAGAAAAGAAAAGTTGGGAATAAGCTGTGCTGGTCATGTGTAAAGTTACAGAGCTTTTATCCTTCCGTTAATAGTTAAATTGAATTTATAATGGTAATGCCAAAAGCAATAGGTATAGAAATTCAGTGTAAGACCTCTACTGATGCTCTTATTCTGTTTCTCAACTGTCAGAAATCTTCACTTGCATTCCCTGCATGTAGGGCTTGCTTTATTATTTCAAAGAAAGAGAGAGCAGACAATCCAATCCAATGGCAAGTCAGTTTCTGATTGATTTCCTATTTTTGCTGCTAAGAAAAAGTGAGATGATGTCTAGAACCCCAAACACAATGTAGTGGGAGTAAGTATATGGGACTTTTTTCTAATATATTTTCCATATTTTTTCTTTAAGGGATCTCTTATTATTTTTCACAAAAGTGTAAGAGAATTGTTTGAATACCTAGCATAACTTTTCCATCTTGCAAGTGTATTTTTTTCTCAGTACAAAGAATAACTTTCTGTACAATAGTATGTACAATAGATTGGTATCTACAATCTACACCTTCAAAATGGAAGAACGTGAAAGTATTCCCACATATGCAGCTTTGAAGGAAAATGTAACATGAAAAAGTTGTGTGCTCTTGCCTGGAATTCAAGCAAGTCAGAATGGCAGCACTTGAACAGGCTATTGGTAAACTATGATTATTAATTCTTGCACATCCAAAAGGATTTGGTGAAATTCCCAAAAGCTTAAGTTGATGCTGTTTTTTTCTACTCAAGAACATATTGTAAAAATAATCAGAGCTTCCTGAGACAAAGAGTTGGAATATAGCAATCTGATGTGATAGGTTTGCTAGAAATATTAACCATCAACCTGAGTCATGAATTTCCACTATAATTCTAAGCTCTACTGGCAGTGACCATACATGCAGCCTTGGTGCTCACTTGGCTAATAGATCTAACAGATCTAACAGTATTGAAACTGGGATTAAGAATGTAAAAAAACACCCCAAAAACAAGTCATACATGGATGTGGATCAAAGTCTAGAGCAGAAGAAAGTATGAGGCTCCCAAGTCTGGATTTCCACTTTCTTTAACAAAAGAGGTGTTGGGGAATCTGTTTTATTTCCCTAGTAATCTCAGAATCAAAACAAATCTTACTTTCTGGTGTGGTTTATGCAGAACAGCTTTATATTTGGTTACAGAGTAAATATTAAAATTTATCTTTTCTCAAAAACAGCGCTCTGCTTTTCAGTTGTTTGCATTATCCAAGCTCCTTTGATTTTTCTCAAAGAACACTTTTGATTACTCTGGGTATTTGTTTCATCTTCTTTGTAAAGTGGCAACACTTTATCTAAACTTTATTTAGGTTGTATTACACAAATATTGTATTTATTAATAGCACATACATGGGTAATAGCATTTAAAAGAGATCTTTCAAAAATGCAAAAGCTCTGTGGTTTACATTTTATCCTGGTTTTCAACTGCTTGTTGCTTATTTTAACCATTTATCATGAAGCATTAGTAGCCGTTTGTAAATGTACTCAGTATAAAGTGTGCCATATTTAATATTTATAACAATACATTTTATACTCTGTTAACAGTCAGGAATCTGGTCTAGATTTAAAAATATTTAATTTTAAAATAACTTTGAGATTTAATTGGAAAGAAAACATTGGTGCTTAAAATATGTGAAACCCTCTGCTTCTTTTCCAATGCAGCTTCAATTCTTTCTTGGCCAGAGCTCCCCAGCTGCTGCAGTGCAGAGCAAGGCTGTGGATGCAGGACCTCGTGTGTGGAGGCTGCAAAACCCGGGCTCAGGGGCCTCCTCCAAAGGGCACTCTGGTTTCAGCTCCCAGCCTGAAACACGTGTCAAGGTCATGCTGAATTTACAACAGTCATTTAAACGATCCAATGTATTCTTGTGGAGTTTCCAGACAATCATGAAAAGTATCATTTGCACTGATTAGTCTAAAAAATCACCTGTTTTGTACCTGAAAAGAAGGGTTTGACTTGCATTGTTTTGCTCCTGGGCATCAGGGGAAGGGGTACACTGATAGCTTTGAGGTCACCTGGGAAGTCTACAGCAGAATGGGGAATTGGACCTGGAATTTGCAAGTTCCAGCCCAAGATCCCAACCATGGGACAACTCATTTCCTCTCCATGGAAGTTTCCGCTGCCAAATTACATTAGAAGAGAACTAGTCCCTCTTGTTTACACATCTTTAAAACAAAACTTCATTAAGACTGAATTCAATACATCACAAATACATTACCAAGATCAACATGAAATGTTTAATAAATCTCTAAATCCTAATGAAAAGAATGATGTCAGTGAGGATGTGATCACAAGATTCAGGAAAAAAAAGACAAAACTTATGTAAGGAGATAAGTAAGGTTATTTTCTGACAGAGTAAATAATCAATAAAAGTTTCTCTGATTTGGAAAAAAAATTGTTTTTGTGATTGAATATACCAGAATAATTTAAAAACTCATTTATTATGAAATAAATTCTGCTTGTTTGAGTAATCGGTCTCATCAAATTCCCTGGGGCTGTTTACACAAAGGAAAGCAATCTTATACTCACTTCCTGAATTTCACAGTTCTTTCTTGAAATATATCCCAAATGTAAAAAAAAAAAAAAAAAAAAAAAAAAAAAAAAAAAAAGAAGAAGAAAAGAAAAAACCTCTACCCGCCACTATCTGTGAAAGCTCTTTGCTTCAGGAGAGCATACTGGTAAAAAGCTGAATGTCACTTCACTGCTGTCCTCTGGAAAGAATATTACTCAAGTCACTGATGGAAAAGAACGGTGCTTAAAAAAACACAAAGAGAGAGAGAACTGCTTGGGCTGAGCGTTATAGATCTTTACAGCTCTCTTTAACTTTTCCACTGTGGTTTACAGTATTTTTTCCCCTGTGGTTTACAGTGTGTGGGTTTTGCTGTTTGTTTACTGTCTTTACTCTCATTGTATATATCCAGATACTTCCTTGTTAGTATCATGAGTGACCTTGTTACTCCTCCCTCAAAAACTCCTACCCTACTATTGCATCCACTTGCTCTTTGACCTCCCTTTTCTGTTTTGTTTGGCATTGGTTTTCTTTCGCTTGCTAGTATTTTAACTCTATACATTTTTTCAATATGTCCCAACAGGACATGCCACAGGGGAATGATATCCTAAAGCTACTCACATRAATCTGCTTTCAGGAGGACTGGATGATATATCAGGCCAAGAAATACACTGTTTTGTTTTCAAGCAGGTAAGTGGTGATTATTCTAGGACAGCTGTTTTCCTTCCTTCYACACCTACAGTTTAGATGCTTGCATAATTTTTCTTTCTCAGCACTTTATCTATAATTAAGACCCTTGGACATGCATCATTAATCTCCAAAATTCAAATAGGCTTTAAAACCAAAGCATTATTTCCTATTTTTTCTATCCTATTGTTTTTTAAATCAATGTTTCTAATAATTTATAGCTGTGCTTTGCCTGTTAAGCTGAGTTTTCTGCTGTAACTAAAGGTGACAGTTTGAGTAGAAATTATATTTCCAATGCCAGAAAAAATTCCTTCATCCACTCTTGGCCCTGTTTCTTGTATCAGATCTTTCTCTAGATTCTTGATAAGGGCAAAACAGGTGCTCACTGCAAAGGTTAATTATAAACCAGGAAGCTGATGGCAGGAAATCTCAGCCAATACAAGGGTTCTGCTGTATTTCCGGAAAATGCTATAAAGCAATGCAGACTGCAAACTGGTTGGGTAGGAATTGGAATTCCCACCAATGTTTTCCTTGTGCTSTGCAGTGCAATGTGTCCCAATATGTTGTACTCCAAGTTGACTTCTCAGCTTATCAGAGCTGGGGGATACAATGAGTGTGGGCTCATAGTGAGAAACCTGTTTTGTTAAATACATGTGTCTGTGTTCCCTTGACTGGGACAAGAAAATTTTAGGATTTCTAAGTGTTGAAATTATGCTTTATTATTAATTTATGATTAATTTATGATAACAGATTAATTATGATAGTAGTTTACCATATTCTATCCAAGCATTTTTGAAAATGAGCTTATTTTCAATTTTTCTAATAAGCATAACATGAAAATTCTGAGTTTTTTCCTTGGTGCTGTAATACTGGCAGAGAAAAGGCTCAGGTGATTCTGCTCAGGGAAGCTAAAAGGCTGAACTCATAGCTAATCTTTCAGACTGTCCTGATGCACAGATTTCAGATAAGTGGTAAACAGTCACTTTGGATTAACTCCACTAAGAAAAAACAAGTTAATACATCAGCAGTCTGGCAGTGTTTGCTGAAGAAGTCAAAGAGAAATCCACATTGAAAGACATGTTGAAGTTGAGGAGTCAGTAGTATGAGAGTCTAGTATTTTAAAGTAATAATTAAATTTCTTTAAGATTCAAACAGCCGTACTAGATCCTGTGGTAAAGGTGACCTTTTCAGTAGCCAGGAGATGATGAGAACTGCCATTTAATATCCTTTGAAATAGTAATGTAAGTGGATTTGGGAATTCTTTTGTGCCTTAATATTTGACTGTTGATCACACAGTTATCTAGTAGGAAAGAGTTTGAAGTTAAAAAAAGCATTAAATAAAGTAATGAAATAGACATAGAAACTATGCCAAGTACTATGTCATAACAATAATATATTCCAAGTGAAGGGATTTGGTAAATGTGAAGCATGGTATTTATTCAAAGGCTCTGTCAATGAAAATGAGTAAAATCAGATCACAGGGAGGTGATCTGGAGATTTAAACAAAGAAAAACCTAGGAGGTGTCAGTTGATCCATGCAGCATTTTTGCACTCTGAGAATCTGCAGTGAAGGCCAAGTGTTGGACATGACTTACTCCTCTTTCTCTGAAGAAGTCACAAAACCAGGCGAACATGTCAGAGCAAGAAAACCTAAATTCCTTTAGTAGAAGGGTCAAGAGCTGCATTTAGGGATGCCCTGTCTACTGATGTGCTGGTTCCAGGTTTGAAGTAGGCCTAGGGCTGTCCCATATTCAAGTTAATCAAACTTTTACTACATAGAGGTGTACGAATGCTGATTCCTCAAATGGCAGCCCTTCGGTTTTAGCAAAAATAATGTCTAGCTGTTTTCTCATGTGTTCTGAATCCGAAAGCTATGGACTGCTAAGCTCTGAACTCCAGCGACAGTTAATTTTATAATCAATACAGAACAGCCAAAGATCATGTACTTTATGGCATTTAATTAAAACTCAGTGAAATAGGATGAGATTCAGACTATTGCTGCTCAAACCTGTTTGAATTATTGTTTTCCAAATTCAATAATGGCTCTTTGCCACAGGCCTGATTTGCAGCAAGCCGCTATTGATTCGAGTGTCCAGGTTCCTTGCAGTCTAAGGATTAGCTCTTATGTGAGAAATAAGAAAACTTTGCATGAGTGAAGTAAGGAGCATCAAATATAWATCTGTCAGCTGTAAAGTTGGCTGGCAGCAGCAGAATTAAGACTATGTTAGAATTTTAACTCCTTCCTTCCTGAGCGAATTACTTATTAAAATTCAGACCTACTGGAAAGAAAATAAAAAAAGAGAAAAAAAGGGGGCAGAAATTCAATTTCTGATGCAGATATGCTCCTGTCAACATTTTATATATTTATAGTAGCATGAATTGAAGCTTGAGTTACATATGCTTCAGCATAATTCCAAATATTTTAACATGCTGTAGTTGTAACATTTCATGAGGAATTGCTATGTCCTGTTTCCTAAAACAACTAAAGTTTTTTTTGTACTTTTTTTCTTGTACTTTTCTTTTTTCACACTGTTTTTAGGTCAATTTTCTAAGTATGGGAGGACTTTTGGTATTTTACTTAGTATAAGTGATTTTTAATTATTTTTTTTCTGATCTTCAGCTTGAAATCTCTTACCTAACTAAGAGCAAATTGTTTCTTAGTGTTCAAACTGTCCCCAGGCTTAGTTACTTGTCCTTTCTCTCTGACTAATGAGGTCAATGGGGAAATGCCAACAGTGGCATAGGCACGGTTTATGTTTAAGTGAATATATGATCTACAGGAACAGAGACAGTGTTTGTAAATGAGATGGCTCCATTTATATCTAAATGTAGCTGTATTTATTCTTATATACTGAATTTATTCTATATACTGAATTTCCCCAGGCTCCCATTTCCCTGTGGGCAGTCAGAGAGAATAGCAGAGTGTGCTTCCCCGGCTCGTGGTGCTCCAGCCTTTCCGTTCCTGCACTCTCCTGCCTCAAGAAACATTTCTAAGTTCTCTCGTGCTGAAAAGTTGCTAGAGGACTTTCCTTCTGCTGATAATAAAAGAAAGAGTTTAAAAAATTGCTCAGTAATAACTGCGCATCAGGAATGGCTTTGGAATGAGCGGTAGCTATTCCTACCACTCTTAACAGCAAACGCAACCTATCCACTGTCAGCTGACAGAGGTTGGATGTATGCCAAGGGGAAGGTCATTGGAACTGTACAGCTGAGATGCTGTCCTCAGGGAACCCCGGCTTCACAATGCAGCCAGAAAGTGATATGCTGCAATCCGTAGTTTAATAGGGCACTGCAATGCAACCACCTTGTTGTGGTGTGAAAAACTGTGAAAAAGTATTTGCTGTGCTATGGAATTGTGTTCAATAGCCAAAGTCCATCAGCTTGGAGTTTAGATTTTTTAGAGGAGGGTCAATTAAATTCTTCAACCTTTCACAGAAACATGCAAAGCAATAGCTTCCTTCAGGTCAGCTTTGCACATCCTTCACTCCTGAAGGTTGGGAGAAAAAGCTGAATTTTCATGAATGCTTTACTTGGACAAAGGAACTATTGGAAATTGGAATTCACAAAAATAGTTTAAGAAGTAAAAAGAACAAGGAAATAAATATAATAACCAATAAATTTTAAAGCAAAAATTTCACATTTTTATGGATGATTTCTCTATTTGGATTCTATTATAGATACTGTTGTTATTAATGCCATATCCTATTAGATTTTACTGTTTCCTCAGTGATGAAGCAATAACATAACTATTTTGTGGTGATTAATTTATTCTTAAGCTAAACTATTTAAGTCTGAATTCTTTAAGAAAAGGATTGCCCTATAGCATGTTACCGTACTTTCAATATTAGCTCACCTAGGAAAACTTTGTCTTTTTTATCTCCTATTAGAGTTTATGTATTTCCCCAAAAGTAAAGGGTATCTTATGGATACAGTAATACTTCATAGACAATGTGTTCATACAATGCACAGAAACTGCTATATGGTTGTAGAGCTACAGTTGTATACAGTTATGGTTATGCAGAGATTTATTTCAGTTTACTGGATAAATAACTTAGGCAAAACATTGAATGGCACTTGCTGTGTATAACTGATGACAAATATCAGATTACACTGAATTTCATCAGAGTCGATATTGGCAAAGAAATGACACTGGTCAGTACTCTTACAAAACTCTAAGTCACTTCGACCTATTCTTTTTTAGTATTGTATATTGTTAACGATATATTTTACTTGGCCTTGATATTTACTGAGGCTATTGAGGTGGCTGGACTATGCTGTTTTTACATTCATATTACTAAAAAAATGTTATTTTCAAAGTGAAACCTGGAAACATAAGACTTGAAAACAGTAAGTTCTCCTGACCTTCTGGCTTTGAAGCTGTCATGGAACAGGCAGTGACATAACCACAGAATTACAAAATGRTCAAGGTTGGAAGGGACCTCTAGAAAACATCTAGTCCAACCCTGCTCAAGCAGGGACACCTAGAGCACGTGGCACAGATGGTAACCAGGTGGGGTTTGAAGATCTCCAGAGAAGGAGCCTCCACAACCTCTCTGGGCAGCCTGTTCAGGGCTCTGTCAATAATATAGCTATAGTTCCTATTTTTTTTTTTAAACCAGGTCTGGATTTTTTTTTAAGTGTGTGTGTGTGTATATATGCATATATATATATACTTCTTCTACTTTTATAAAAGTAGAAGTACAAATACATACATATAAATTACCATGTTACCAGTATGGGATGTACAGTTCCAGTCCGAGAGTGATCTTAGACTTAAATCAATAGTGCAGTAAACATAGAAAATGTTGTTTAAGTCACTTTAATTTATCTGTATCTGAAGAATGTAGTTGCCAAGGAAACTCAGGCACAGTATGCTTAAAAACCAATTTTAAATTGATACTCTCTTAAAAATATACTAGTCCTGCAATTCATCTAAAAGAGTGACATTATTATTGGTGACTTTTATATTCCAAATGAAGATCTTTTTGTGCATGTGCACTACG